CATCATCACTTAAATGTGATCTAAATGACTGATCTGTACTGGCACAGATACTGCTGAATGAAGGCTGCAACAACTGTACTCTGCCTCTTGACGAGCCACGGAAGTTCCCCAAACACAGAGACTGCCTTCTATTGCCATACCTCCTATGCACTTTGGTTAATCACAGTGTCCCGAGGCTGACCGACTTGGGAATTTTCATTCATGAAAAGGCGGGAAAGCATCTAAAGGCTACCGCACTGTGTCTTTGTTTTTCCGCGTCCTCACCTGCGGCAGGGTTTCCCCCAGTTCCTTCTGCCGAGGACCACTGAGTGTTATCTGACTAAACGTGCATTTAGGCAAGAACCTAAATGCCTCTTAGTAGAGGCATTTAGCCTCTTCAGTAGGACATGCTCCGGATCAGTTTATTATCCACCCTGAAGCTGTACAAGGGTAAATCAACTCTACATAAATGAGTTTTCTTTTCCATAATTGGACTGGATTTGAGGGAAACCAAGGAACTGTGGAGCTCCTCATGCTGGTCAAAGACAGACACAGAACAGGGGTGGGAATGCCACCTAAGGCGGCAGTCTCCACCCCACCGGGACCAACCTCTAGGCACCTGACCACCTCTGATATGTCTCCCAAGTGTCGCTCACTCTGTGTCTGACTCCGTGCGACCCCCTGGACTGGAGCCCGCCAGGGTCCTCTGTCCATGAAATTCTCCAGGCCAGAATACTGGAGCGGGTAGCCACCCCCTTCTCCAGGGGATCTCCTCAACCCAGGAATCCAACCAGGGTCTTCTGCATTGCAGGCAGATTCTTTACCATCTGAGCCCCAAGGCTTCTGGACAAAAACATCCTCTATCATTGATAGTGTTAATGAAATACCAGTTCCTGATTCTCCTGACAAAAATGACATTCAGATTCCCTTTCTTGTAACAAGAACCCAAAGTAAAATTTTCAAACAGTAAAGTCTCGGTGAAATATTTTACCTTTTTTAACCAAAATAGAAAAATTCTATATTTTCATTTTTCTAGTACTGAATGAGTCCTGATTATCCTTTCCTTAAATTTGCACTTAACGTGGTTATCTTGACCTGGAGATTCTTCCCAGCTCTAAAAGGTGTGCTTTTATACAGTAGTCACAGGTATATTCTTCGGCCTGGATGTTTTTTAATGAAAGTTACCTATGGGGCACTTCTAAAACAGCAACTCACCTTAATCAGAGTTGTAAGAGATTCTTGGATATAAATAATACAGGCTGACAGAATAGGAATGCTGCTACAGAGATACTTGCTAAACTAGGACATTACTTTGTTTCTAATCTTTCACCTGAAAAGATGTAGGTCATCAAGTAAACAGCTACTACATTCTTTAAAACTAAAAATATCTGCAAAAGTAAAAACTTTTGGTGATTAAAATATTTTACTTTTAAAAACATCACGCTCCTCACTATCTTCACAGCTAATTGTTTCTATCTCAACTTCTGCTATTCTATTTAGTCCATTTATGAACTATCTTCTCCCACTAATCTATAAAAAGAAAAGGGAAGAAGAGATTGTCTTTGGATTCTCGAAAAATCAGTCAAAAACGTTTGCTTAATCAAATTATACTTAACCTTCCATATGCTTTACCATCTCAAAACAATGTTTAATCAATTTCCTATGTAAATGTAAATGTTTTTCAGATGAAAGATCAAGTCCCAGAAGCAAAGTTAAACCTTTCCCATGAGTCATTAAAAAATTGTTTCTAAGCTTCTATGCTCATAAATACCTTTCCAGGCATCTAAACCAGTGACTCTTAGAGCCACTGTTTTTTTTTCTAATGTTAACTTGAACTTGTCAATATAGAAAAATAAATTTCAAAGCTGCAAACAAAGTAACTTAAGAATGTCTACTGGTAACACGTAACAGGCTAAAGGGGATACTGTTTCCTGCAGTTTTCAAATATAAACTCAAAAAAATTAGCGAGTACTAATTTCATCCTGCAAAATTTTTTCACCTCTACCAACAATGATCTCTAGATCCAAACTGCATGATCTACACTAAGGCTATATACATATATATGGAGACATATATGTGTGCACACACGTATCTAAAATCTTATTCTGATTTTAACTCTAAATCATTTTTTAAGGAAATGAATTCCTTTCTATATTTTTTAAAATGTTTTACCACTTCCCACAGTTCCAGAAAAAAAGGAATAATTCATGTTCAGAACATTTTGAATGTTTTCTATTTGTGGGGAAGTGCTGCAAATGAAAATACCTTTATTATCAACATGGCCAGTATTTTAAAACAAAAATCTATACTTAAGACATTCAATGGATAGTAAGTGTAGAGCAAGGAACTAAATAGGAATTTATACCTAGGGATTTTTTAGTATACAAAATGAAACTAAAATCAACTGAGCAATAAATCTCTAGCAGAGATTATGTATTTTGAAGTACACACAGTACCATCTTAATATAAATGTCATTAGAGAAGTGTTCTACCCAGGAAGTGAGATGGCAGGTGGGAATTTAGCCCCTTTACAAGTAGTCTTGGGCTAGAAATCTTTCAAAGGCTTACTGTGAAATTCTTTCTTAAACAAGGAATCCCGAATACAGCTGTGATTCTAACAGGACAGTGCTTCACCCACGGTCCACTTCATGTTGTTACGTTATTTGTATGTTTTCATTTTTGGGGGGGTGCTTCCAATTGTCCTTCTCTTGTCAATCGGTGGCAGTCATTCTGGGATCATGTAGTCCCCATGTAGCAACCTGGCCACAGAGTCTGGATCCAAGGGCTACTGACACGGCCGCCTGATGTGTGCCGCTCAGACTATGAACAACTGCTCACCTTCGGCCCTGCTCCAGATAGCTGACAGAGGACCATAAAACCTTACCATCCTCTCTTTTCCCAACCGCTTTACCATATACTCCAGGGTTAAGCGCACAGCCACACACGTGACTAAAACTACTCAGATTTCAAACTTCTGTATTCAGAGTGCACTGTTTGCTTTTTCAGAACTCTTTCTTTAGAAAGTAAGTACTTTTTACTAAAGTGTAAACACAATTTTCAAAGAAATTTCCACACTCAATGTAAAAGCCACACTTCAACTCATGGGACTCTTAGGCATACCAAGAAACAAGGATCGGGTGATAAATGTTTTCAATTTCTTTTTAAAATGCTGTTATAAGGACAAATATTTTTATTTGGAAATATACACTTCTCGACACTGTTGCCTAAGTAGCCATACTTATTTCTAATCAGAAGCACAATATATATATATATGCTAGAAGTAACACAAAAACACTTCCACACAGGTAATAGGGATATCCCTATAGGCCAATAAGTACGCTATCACATATATATAAAAGACAGCATGGTTTTTACAATTTTTTCCCTAGAATAGAGGCAACATCAATTTCAGGTATTTTGTCTAACCATATAGAGCTTTGTATTATTTTTGTATATTCTTTCTGAATAAAGAAATCAAAATGTATAAACTTAGAAAAACTTGAATGCTATGAGACTTCTAACTGCTATTTTCTACTCTTTCATCTCAAATTTTTTTAAAAAACCATCTTGTTTCAGAAAGACTATGTCCTTACGTTCGGTTTACAAGTCAAGAAGAATTTGCCATCTAAAAATCCAGAATAAGCAATTAAACAGAACTCAGGTATAAGTTGTTTTAATTGCTTAAAACATTTTAAAAACATAAGGTAACTTGACATTTTAAAGCAATTACAATTATTTTCTAAAGAAGTCCTAGGGTCCTACACATTCTGCCACATTCTGGCAATCATTAAAAAGGTTTTATATCAAAAATACAATATCAACATTCCCATATAAATTTTTAAAGTCCTCTAACAAAAAAAGCTAATTACATGAGAAGTTATTTAGAAATACCTGGGCCTTTAAAGGAATAAGGAAAAAAAAAACCACTTTGCTAGCTTCAGATAAATTCATTAAAAAAACGACAGGGTGGGGAGGATGCAATGAGAGCGCACAGGTAATTTTCAAAGGCATTGTGTAGAAACTAAAAATGAGGAGAAAACAACCTCAATGCTCTATGATTACCCAAGAACGGGTTTAGCCAGATGAACAAGTCTGCCACAAACCCTCCTCGAGGCATCTGAGAGGCTATCAAACAAAACTTTATTAAACTGGATTACGGGGTCTCACTCATCAGATGTCAATGGACACACATTTATGATCGGGCAAAAAAGTCAATGCATGGGATTCAAACTAGGCCTCCATCTTTTTAGTTGGTTTTTATCTCTTTCAGTATGAGCGTCATTAAGACAACCCACTATTAAATTTCCCTGCCAGCAGGTCAAGTTCCAGAATCGCAGGTATAAGCATTCAGAGCACTAAACCCTGCCAGGGGTTACAAGGCCATTTAGATATGTCCTGACTACATCCCAGCAATAAGCAGTTGATTGCATTGATATATGGAATCACGCTCCTCCTTTATTAGGAGACTTTAACCTCAGGAGAAACATTGTTTCCTCCTTCCTATCTCCCATTTCAAGGACTTTCAAAGGAGAAAGGACAAGAGCTCAAAAGTTCTGAAGTTATTTCCTCTCCTCCTTAATCATAATTCAGGTAAAAACCCATTTTCAGTGTTTCTTCCTAAATATATAACATATATTCTATAAAAGCATTGTTAAGTATTTCTATAGAGACTGTTTTCATGGTTTTTTTGTCATTTGTATGCTGAAAACTTCAGATTGAGTTTACATGCTTAATGGATATTTAAGTATAAATATAACTTCTACTTTGAGATTCGGAGATAGCCTTTTTGTCTCTACCTAAAAACTTCAGGTTGAAACAACCCACTGGTTTCACTGATAAATAGAGGAGATGTCTTTTCTTTAAAAGCAATTTCTCAGAAAGCCCTGGAATCTACCACATTGTCGCCAACACTATTTAGATTTTAAGTAGTATTTATCACTGGAATATCAAGCAATACTTCCCAATGCGCATATGAAATGTCTGCAGCCATGTTCCTCTTTGAGCTCTATCTCAGCACTGACCTTTGTTCAAAGGCTTTTACTTTTTAATGCAGCAGTTAGAGATAACTACTTCATTTATCAAAACTCAATTTCCATAGTAACATCTAGCCTGGGGAGATTCAAGTCCTCACACTAATCCAGCAGCCCATTCAAAGGAACTGTTGAATACTTTGGTTTCCATAGCAATGATGGAATAAAACATTTTGCTAGGTCATTGCTTTTATTAGCAAACTTATTCTCTGAACTTTAGGTTAAAGCTGCATTTACGGAGAGAAAAAAAAACACAATCACTTTGTATAGGTTCTTTCCTTTAGGCCTATCCTTTTAAGAAAATCACTAATGGTAACCACCCGTAGTTTTAAAAATACTTTGGGTATTTGGAGATTTTTACAGCTTGCCACCACCTAATTTCGTCCTCAAATAAGTTCTGATATAAAGTTTTGAAATTAAAAAGCATTTTAAAATGAGTGTATAGATCTGACAAAAGTTTTTATAAAATTATAGAGGCTAAACATTTTAAACACGGATGAGATATTAGCTGGAATAGTCTCTCCGATGTACAACATGGACTGGGGTAGAATGTAAAATAGCTTTTAAACCACGACCCTAGTTTTGCCTGATTTTAGTATTTTTCAACTTCTAGCCCACCTTTTACCAGCAGGGAAAACATACTAAACACAGATATTTTAGGCTCAAGGTGAAATTAAGATAATTTATTAAGCAATTACGCTTTACCTGCTAAATGGAAAAGGCTTTAGTGTTTGATGTAGTTTTATAGAAGCCAGCTGATTTGTTACGGAGGGAGAAAAT